TCTCGCGGCCGCGCGGTCCCGGAGCGCGGCGCCCAAATCCAACTCGAAGAGCCGGAGGTCGTTGATCCAGCGCGTCATCACGTCCATGAACCGCGACGCGGACAGCGCCGCGCTCCGGCCGAAGCCGACGTCGTCGCTCCGCGCCTGTGTGGATTCCAAATATTCAACCCGACTTCAACGTGCGCGTAATTGAACGGATCGCGCCGGAATCTTTCGCTGTGCTTCAAGAACTCGATGAGAGCGATCGATTCGTCCAAAAATCAGCCGAATCGACTTGGAATTGGCCGAGATAGAGAGTTCTGAAGTTTGGTGGGGACCCCCCAAACCAGTGCTTGCAATCCACACCGCTCCGCGCCGTCAGCAGGCGGCTCGCGAGCACCGCGTACTCGCGCGGCGGCGCCAGGAGCGCGCCGAGCGCCGCCGCGTCCACAAAGTCCGGCGCGAAGAGCAGGATCGCCTCGGCGACGGCCTCCGCGCCGCCCATCGTCGCCAGCAGCGCCGCGCGCGCGCCGGCGGGAAAGGACCGCGCGCCGAGCGCGCCGACGCCGTAGCCCCGCTGCGCCGCCGCGAGCTCCTTGCCCTTGAGGAACAACACCCCGAAGGCGACGTCGCCCGCGCCCGCGCCGCTCGCGCGCGCCGCGTCCCGGAGGCACCGCAGGAGCCGCTCGTGGAACGCGCTGTAGCCGCTTACGACGGCGTAGTAGTCCGCCGCGCCGCCCGCGTGGCGGTCCACGCGGAACCGCTCCGTCGCCAAAGCCTCGAACGCCAATTCGAAGGGCGCGCCCCAGAGCTCGCCGCCGCGCGCCGCGCGCCAGGCGTCGTCGCTGCTCTTTCGCGCGCGGTCGAGGCCGTCGCCCTGCGCGGGCGGGCCGGACCGCCCCTCGGCGACGCGCCGCGTCGACACGGCGCGCTCGACGCCCGACGCGTGCAGCGCCGACCCGACGCGCTCGAGCAGGTCCAGGACGTCGCTCATCCGGGCGCGGGTCGAGGGCGCGGCGCGTGCAAGAGGGCCTGCAGTAGGCCCCAGGAGCTTTGGCGCTGCATGCACTCGCTGCATGCAGCACTGCTCCAACGCCAAGGTTGACGCAAAACTCCTCATTTTTGCTGCCCCTCGATGGGCCGATGAATCCCTAGCGCCCCGCCATGCAGGTGCGCATCGACCCGGCGCAGCTGGGCATGACGCCGCCGGAGAACAAGCTCCCCACGGCCCGGCCCGGGAGCGGGGCGCCGCGGTCGATCGTCTCCGGGGCCCTGCGCGGCGTGGGCATCCTCGCGCACCACGGCGCCCTCGGCGCCGCGGCGCTCGTCGGCGCGCCGGCCGTCGGCGCGCGCGACGGGGGCTGCGCCGGCTGCGCCAAGGGCGCGTGCGCGGGCCTCGCGGGCGCGGTCGTCTTCCCGACGCTGGGCCTGTACAAGTGCTGCGACCGTTTCGCCCGGGGCTGCGCCAACACGCCCGCGACGGTGGCCGGGATGTGCCGCGGCCAGGCCTGGGACCCCGTCGCGGGCAAGTATGAGACCTACGACCTCCGCAAGGACGCGGACCGCTACGTCGGGCCCGCGGCGGACGCGCTCCTGCGGGACCATGTCAAGGGCCGGCGTCCCGCGGCCGCGACGATGTTCGAGAGGTGTTGGGCGGGAAGACTATGAGACATCGTCACCGTCATGCTTGGTAGGTCAAGGCGCGGCGCGCGTTCCGAAAGGAAGTCGTCAAGGAGGTCGAGAAGCGCGCGCGGCGGCAGGCGGGGCTGCCGCCCGACTTCCCCGCCGAGGAGTCCAAGGAGGACGGCGAGTCGGCGCCGGACACGGCGCTCTACGACGCGCTCGGCGTGGACCCGTGCGCGTCCGCGGGCGAGATCAAGAAGGCCTACTACAGGAAGGCCCTCAAGGTCCACCCGGACAAGCACCCGGGCGACGCCGACGCCGCGGCGCAGTTCCAGAAGATCGGCGCGGCCTACCGCGTGCTCGGCGACGCGGACGCGCGGCGCCGCTACGACGACACGGGCGCCGCGGCGGACGCGGAGGACGGGCAGGCGCCCTGGGACCCGCGCGTCTACTTCTCGCTCGTCTTCGGCTCCGAGGGCTTCGTCAAGTACGTCGGCGAGCTGCAGATCGCGAAGATGCTCCGCCCCCCCGACCGGCGGGCGCACGGCGACGAGCCCGACGCGCCCGAGCTCGAGTTCCTCGAGCGGCGGCGCGCCGTCGAGCTCGCGACGCGCCTCGCCGACGACGTGCTCGCGCCCGCCGTCGACGGCGGAATGGACGGCGCCGCCTTCGAGGCGCAGATCGCCGCGAGCCTCAAAGCCGAGGGCCTCCTGTCGACGCCCCTCGGCGTCTCCCTGGCCAAGGTCGTGGGCGCCGTCTACGCGCGGCGCGGCGCGGCGTCCGCAGCGCCGCTCGCCGCGCCCGCGGTCGGCGCGCGGCGGCTGCGGCGCGCGGCCGCGACGCACTACCGCTACGCGCGCGAGGGCGCGGACGTCCTCGTCAAGTCCGAGCGCTTCAAGAAGGCCGGCGACGTCGCCAAGGCCGCCGTCGCGTGCAAGCCCGTCGACTTGAAACCGCCGGAGAACACGGCGACGCTCGTCGTGAGCCACGCGAAGACCGGCGAGTGGGCCTGCCTCCACCTCGCGCCGGGCGCGTCCGCGGACGCGTTCTTTTCGCGCGCCATCGCCGCGGAGCTCGCGGCCGCCGAGTTCCGAAGGCCCGGCGGCGCGTGGACGCTCGCGCGGTCCCGGGGCCCCCGCGCGGGCGTCGCCGTCGTCGAGCGCGCCGTCGCCAACGCCGCGCTCGCGGGCGCGGCCGTGCCCACGCCGCGGAGCCTGGCCGTCGCCTGCGCGCGGGGCTGCCACCTCGACATGATGACGGCCATGTGCGGGGCAGGGCAGGAAAAGAGAGCGAAATGCCCAACTTCAAAGGCTCCTATCTCGGCCGTTTTCCACTCGTTTCGGCTGATTTTTGGACGAGCGATCATCTCTCGGAACGGTCTCGAAGCATGGATGCTTTTTCCGGGACGCGCGCGCGCGGAACACTCATGTTGAAGCGACCTTGAATCTCTCTTTTCCTACCCAGGTGCAAGGCCGCGTGGCGCGTCTCCGTGCTCGACGTCGAGGCGACGCTCCACCGCGCCGCGGACAAGCTCCTCGCGGACCGGGGCGTCCCCGCGGCGACGCGGCGCGCGCGCGCGCGCGCGCTCGCCGGCCTCGGCCGCGCGTTCCTCGCCGCGGCGCAAGGCGCCGGCGGCGAGAAGACCTGGGAGGACCAGATCGACGACCTCTTCGTCGCCGTGCCGCCCGGGGACGCGCCGCCGCCGCCGGGGGACGCGCCGCCGCCGCCGGAGGCGCCGCCGGAGGGCGCCGA